GGCCTAGGACGGTCCCTTTGCCATCCCACCTTATCAAATTAGAGATCGACCCAGTGGACAAAGAGAAGCCCAGAACTTCTTGTCTCACTCAAACAGGCGGAATCAACCTACCTTCTCTTTTATCCGCCCCCGCCTCCTCAGAACGTTCGTCGTCGTGGAATATGTAATTTCCACGTTTATCCCAATACTTTTCTTCAATTTTTAAAAACATAATATTTAAAGCGGATTCAACTATTTGGTTTTTTTTAAGTGTCAGGTTGTTTTTTTTATTTATTTGGAATTTTTTATTGTACAAAAGAAGTAAGAGGATTATTGAGTGCTTTTGCAATTGTAAATTTAACCACAGATTTACGGCGTACATAATACGATATATATTTAAATAGCCAACCAACGGTCTAAGCACTCCAGCATTAAAATAAATTTGCCGTTGACATCACCTCTTTGCTCTACCATAATAGCCTGTAAATGGGAACATCTAAAAGATACCTTTGGGGCAAACCACCTACACATAATTATAAATTTCACACTGACTACACCACTCCGAAATATTAAATAAACGAATTATGAATTATGTGACCGAAATCACATTTATCAAGAACTGTTTATCGAGTACGAATCAACAAGTCTAGCGACGCCTGTCGATACCATATATCAATAATTTATTTATTTTTATTTTTTACGACGGTTCGCAACAGTAGAGGTCATATCAACGCTCGGGGTGCCGGTGTTTTTGAAAAAAAGTCCATTTGTAAGTAAAAAAATGCAGGGCCGCTGGATTCGAACCCGGGACCTTTACCTTTTAGTGATGAACGCCGTGTCAACGCCTATACCGTTGCGGCCACCGACCCTTCTAATAATTTATTGTATAGTTTTTTCCATTTTTTAACATTAACTCTTTTTAACGTAAAATTAATCCTTTGTTAATTAAAATTAGCCCTTTCTTTTAAGTGTTAAAAATTTTAGGAGTTAGTATTAAATAAACTCAAAGATAAAAAAACCGGACACTCTATTTTAGTTTTTATTTCAAACTATATATATTTTATCGTTGTATTAAACACAACATACTTATTTTAATATAAGCCAAATCAAAATAAACCAGGAATTCATGAGTTTTAATCAAATTATTTAAATGCGATGGTTTGAAAGAAAATTCACTAGCACACTAGAAAATCATTAATGGATAGATTAAAATTTCTTCTATCACTAAATGGTTTCGTTAATTTTCTTTCTAACCATAATAATTATATATTTGTTATTAAAAGTCATGAATTTCAGATCTCGTTTAATTTGGTTTACATTAAAATATATATGAATATGATTAATACCAATAAAAATACATATAGTTTGAAATAAACAGCAAAATACGAGTGTCCAGTTTTTTTAATTTGACATAGAGTAATGATACAGTATTACATGCTTATATTTCACACCGTCATCTAAGTTTATTAAATGGTTTAAAAAAGAGTTAAATTGAAATCAAACAAGTTTATTTGAAATTAAAAAAAGGTTAATTTGATCTTAAAAAGGGTTAATTCAACATGTAAAAAATTTAATTTGCAGTTAGAAGGGATTAATTTGAAGTAAAAAAATGTTAATTTTAAATTGAGAAAAATTTAATTTGATGTTAAACGGGGTATTTTGACCGGAATAAAACAAACGGTTCTTCTATTAATCTGAGAAAAAAATATAAATAGAAAATAACTATTTTATAGACCAAAAAATCTGCAAATAATAGAATATATTATATGTTTCAAATTTAAAAAAAAGAATCGCTTATTTTAAAATTTTATAAAGTTTTTAATTTTAATTATAATTTTTATATTGCCTTCTGGGAGTCCCATTATTTTATACACTGATGGACAAATTTAACGACCACTCAATTTATTTAATTTAACGCTATATCCATTATCTTTCTGCATTAGTTAAAGATAATTAGGAGCTACTAAAAATAAACAATAGATAATAGTAGTATATGTGACACCTGGGGCAGACAGGTTTTACCCCTTCCACCTTCCCTGTCAAGGCGTCTGGCGAGACAGTTTTTACCCCCCCCCTTTTCCTCCTTCCAGACACCCCCCACCACTAGTCTCGGGTCTGATGGGGCCTAGGAGTGACGTTAGTTTTCAATGGCGTTTGAAGAGTAACGTCACTGATTTTTTTCACCACTGGTGTTTGATGAGGGTTGTGGCTACCCTTCTGTTTTTGTTTTTTCACCATACTGTGTCAGGGGTTAAGAAAAACTGCAGTTTTGATATATATATATATATATATATATCAGTATTGGTGTGGTGTGTGACACAGTATGGTGAGAAAAAACAAACAGAAGAGTAGCCCAATCCTCATCAAATACCATAGTGGTGAAAAAAATCAGTGACGTCACTTGACAAACCACATTGAAAAAATCAGTGACGTCACTCCTAAGCCCCATCAGACCCGACGACAACTGGTAGGGGTGTCTGTAAGGAGGAAAAGAGGGGGTAAAAACTGTCTCGCCAGATGCCAAGAGAGGGAAGGTAGAGGGGATAAAACCTGTCTGTCCCAGGTGTCACCTATATCTTTGTTTACTTCCTTTACTTACTTTTGTATAGGTTAATCCCATTTGCACAAAAAATAGCATTATGCCCTTGCATTCTGCTACTCCTAAAGACCGCTTTCAGTTATTTTTTTTCTTCTTTGATTTCAATTGATATTATTCTTATCACTCATCTTCTTGAGGAAATTCTTATCACAGGTCACGATTTCTTCAAGGACTGTAAGAAGAAGGCTAATGAAATAATTTCACGGCCTGGCACCCCTGGCTCGTGGACCTCTTCTCACTACAGCGCAGAAAACGGCCAGGATTCAATTCGCACGGGAACATGTGAATTGGACATTGGAAGTTTGGGGACGAATATCTCTATAGATGAAGTGAGAGTTGGCCGCAAATCTTTAGATGAACACAATTTCATATCAAGACGCTCAAGAAAAAGATACGCTCCACGCTGTATGGTTCCTCAGATGGCATTCCACGGTAGGTCATTGATGTTCTGGGGTGGCATTTCCTGGGACACCCGCATCGACTTGGTTGTTGTGCTAGGAAGACGTCTAACTTCACAGAGATACTTAAATAATCGAAGGACGTGTACTGCCATTTGCGTCCCCTCCACCACATCGGTGAGAGAGTCTTGCTAAAGCAGCATAATGCCAGGCCCAATAGAGCACGTATTTTGGATGACTACCTGAATAAGATTGGAATTGAGTGCTAGTCGTGGCCTTATGATTTGGAGAAATCCGGTCAACTTCATTAGACAAGCAAGCTTGAAAGTCGAATTTTTCCCCAATAAACACAAAAGCTTGTAGTTAAAAATTGACTTACAGAAAAGGGAAAATAAATAAAGAAAACAATGAAGAATGTCTTTATTTTTATAAATAATCAGTTACATGTTTTCAACAGTAATAACAAATAAACGTGAAACGCTTTTTTAAAAACAAAAATGACAAAAGGAATATGTCGAAAACATAATTCACAGAAGCATTTTGGTCTGTTTAATACATAACTATATACATCAGCCAATTTATTAACATGTTTTTATATATATATATAATATATGTTCTTATATATCATAATTTTGTACAACGCAATTCAAAAACGAAATTGATTTTTCAACCGTTACGTTAACAATAGTCACACATAAATTCACAAGCAATTGTTTTAAAAGCAAAGAGGAGCGAAGAAGAAAGATGGTAATACAAGTGTCCCTGGGCTACTTTACCCGCACATAAAACCCGAAATGAAATGTAAATGTGACTAGTTACCATTCGTTATTAATTAAATATGGCACTTTGTTCGTAAAAAAAATAATAGTAGTAAAATCGATGAGCATAGTTGTAATAAATAAGTCCATTGGCACTTTTGCATGAAGAGCCATTCCTTTGAATGGAATTTCTTGGAATTCAAATTTTTCTGAACAATGCAATGACGTAGGAATATTATTGATACGACCTTAAGTTTATATAGTATGTACAATATTTTTAACATTTAGTCACTATTTCTAATATAACACATATAACAGTATATATATTTTTATAATATTTAAAATGTATTTGTAATAATATATCACTTGTTTTAAACGAGAAATTAATAACTCGAAGCATTGATTGGTACAAGAATAAATCAATTCAGACCATTTTAAATGTTATAGGAAACAATAAACGCTTTAGAATCTAAGCGACCATTGTGATATAGAATGTAAAATTAGTTTCCCTCTTTCATTGTATTTATTTATAGCTATATCATTGTTGTAAACTGCTTATCGATCTCGGATATAAATATAAAAATTAGTACATGCGGAATAGAGAGTAAAATCGGTGAGATGGTTTATTTACAAAAATGGTGTAATAATTTATACAAAAATCTACGATAAAGTTAACTTAATATAACCTACAGTGCGAGGATTTTTCTCGATTGGTCGAAAATTTGAGATTTTGCCATCGGTTCATCTAATTCGACCGTCCTGGGCCGTATATTCTCGCTGTTTTAAGAGAACAAGCAGACCAGGATGATCTTTCAACCGGTGACAAAATAGGCTGCACTTGATATATATATAAATTATATTCATATTTGACTACAGGAAGAAGGGTACTATGAAGGGCAAAGCCACATTTTTCATAACAGTATGTAAGCTCAAATAAGCTAGACCTCTGACCGTTTTATAAATAGGACCTATATGTTATTTTTTAATTTATACTTTTCTAAACATTTGCAATTGTTAAACAATTATTTATATACGCTCTCCCGTTCTAAAGATATGTACAATATTCGGCAAATATTTAAAAACATAACAATATTGAACTAGTCTAGTAAGATTTGTCTAAATTCATTCGATATACGCCAAAATCGATCAAAGGCTTTAAAGATCCGCCTTGTTAACGTTTTTCAAATTTAACGTGTATTCATTAAACAAAATTTGACTTACAAGCGACGTTTTTTTGCGAAATTCTTTGTACAATAATTACAAATAAGTATTTACAATATTGGTCAACATAGAAACTTACACCCTTGGTCTTACAGGTTTTATTTTTATTTTTAAAAGTTCGTATTTCATTTTCTAATTTGATTGACGATATACATACGAGAGGACCCACTTTCTCTTTAAATGATGTATAAAACATACACTATATATAATCTCAGTCTAGGATGATATAATGATGTTTCGTTTGGTACTAAATTACCCGAAAGGCATTTATGTGATTGTGTATTGAAACGGAGCTTATCTTCTGATAAGAAATACAAAAAATACGAGTGAGCAAGGCGGGAGAGTGCGTCGTGCGGACGCGGGCGCGTCCCAATTGTCTCTGGTGATGTCGTCGTTGCAACGGCTGATCGAATTCACGTTGATGGAGCTGATCGTCTGCCCGTTAAACTGGAGCGGGGAGATGCAGTAATTTTTCGAACTGAATTCCGCCGCCGATCCGTTGGCCAGAGGGCCTTCTAACAAGGAATGGATGTGACAATCACACGGGAAATGATTGAAAAGAACGGTGAGGGATTCTACGCCGTCGAGGACGATGGCCCCCGGGGAAGGCGCCTCCAACAGGTGGTTTCCTTGCATTTTTAACATTTTCACCCTCGATTCAGGCAAGAAGTGGAGCTCTTGGATCGAATCGATTTTGTTGCTCACGAATCGGAGACTGTTGACGTGTGTCATGCCTTCGAACGCTCCGGGCTGGATGACTCCCAGGTCCGAGTCCTGTATCGCGAGAACGTGGACGTGCGACAGCCCCCGGAAGGTATGCGTCTTGAGCGCCGTCAGATCCATGTAGGAGAGTTTGATGAGGCCGACGGAATCCAATCCGCTGAACGCGTCGGCCTCTATCGTTTTGATTCCCGCCGGGAGGATGAGGTGTTCGACGTTCGTCAGCCCGGAAAATGCCGACGTCTCTATTTTATGGAGCGGATTGCTGTTCAGCAGGAGCAGCCTCACGTTCGACGTCCCCGCAAACGCATAACCTTCAACTTTGTGGATCTTGTTATGACCCAGGAGGATGGCAGTGATGTTCTGCAGTCCGGCGAACGCGAACTGGGCCACCGTGGTGAGCGGCGTGTGCTGTATCGACAGCTCTCTCAGGCGAGGTAGGCCTCGGAAAGCGAACGGTTTTATAACGGTGATGTTGTTACCGTCGAGGGACAGCTTCCGCAGGCTCCGCAGACCGTTGAACGCGTCGCTTTTTATTAGGGGGAAATTGTTTTTCGTCAGACTCAGATGCTCGACTGTAGGAGGCAGCGAATTGACGGGTATCTCCGTCAATCCTCCCGTGTTGCACAAAACCTGAAACAAATTAACGTTCCCATCAAACAGGTTTACACCATAGTTATAAATTAATTAGTTTGGCATTAATAAATATTTATTTGTTGATCGTGAGATGCGGTCTGGGGTGTCGTAGGTTTTAGAAAAACATTTTCTTTATCGTGCCACGTTTCAACCTTTATTGAGATCATCTTCAGGGCTCAAAGTGTTTATTTTCCGTGTAGATGTGTCATTCTTGTGTGTTGTGTAAAAAGTGCCAAGTTTTTGTTTTGTTATTGTGTTAATGCAATAAAGATGGTGATATGTCTTTTTCTTCTTCTGTTTTTGTTGACTTTGGATTGCAAAGTCTACATCAGTAATTAATTTAGCTGTAGAGAAATCTGGTTTTTTGTAAGGAGTGGAATGTTTGGGACCAAATGATAGGAAGTTTTGGATTTTTGAAAGAATGTTAGTTTTTGTTAGGTTTAGAAACCAATTGTTTGTGTTATCAGGTGTTTGTTTGTTGATTAAGTCGTTCAGTGTTTGTTTTTAATTTGATCAAAGTGGAAATTGTACGTATCTTTTTGATGTTTGTACAATTTTTAAGTGTCTGTAGTTATTATGTTTGCGGCACTGAGTTTTAATTGGTATAATTTTTGTGTTTACGATTAAATGTTTTTAATGTTGGTAGTGATTTCTATGTTTAAAATGTTTCTTTTGAAATGTATTGTGGCTTTATGTACGTCGTTAATTCTGGTGTTTGGTTGTGTTAATGTGGCATTTGTGAAGTTAAAGTTGTTTTTGCTGTTAGTTGGAAATACAATGTGTTATCTGCATTTCGACAAAAAAGCGCTCTGATGCAAGTTTCTTTTCATTGTTGTCGATGCCCATCAGAATACTCTTTGCTTGGTGTCCATATCTAGTTGAAATCTGTTCAAAGAATCCCATGTTCTTCGTTCTTCTCGTCTAGAAATTTGTGGTGTTTACTGACCGTAAGTTAATGATCATTACCAACAAAGCGGGGAAACTACAATGAAATAAACTTGCCCCAAAGTGTGTGGAAAAATGGTAAACATCTTACAATCAAGAGACGGCACACGACAACATCCTTTTTCTTCCTATTTGACCGACCATAATAGGTATGTACATTATGGGAACGTAGGACAATATGTCAAGAGATAATTCTACTTGTCAAATTGTGCTAAAAGTTTCTATTGTCTAAAGTCTGTTTTTCTATTCTCTACTGTTTCAGATATTTCAGGTTACTTACGATACTACAATTTTACTGGAGTACGACAGCATAACCTCCTCCTGTCAGTATTTTTAGAGAAAAAAGCGCTGTTTTATACGAATCCTATTGGTTTATATATATACAGATCCGAAGACAATAAACCGTGGGCCATGGAGAGGAGGGATAAAAAATAAAGAGTAGTTCACTAATTTCGTGGTCCGCTTGACCAATTAATATATTACAATTAATTAAGGTTTTTAGCTGAGACAAAAAAGTCAATGGCACGAGCGGGATTCGAACCCACGATCTTCGGCTAGATACGCCGCTGCTGTACCACTTGAGCTATCGTGACCTCGATCCACTCGGATATCAACTGCCCATCTCAACCCCACCTTTTGTGTTTTCCCTCCTTTTTGCCATTTTTCATTTTTTCAATTTCATTTTCTCAACGTGGCCATTTTCATGTAGCCGAGTATCCAATCCGATTACACGACATTTGAAAAATGGCAAAAAGGAGGGAAAGCTCAAAAGGTGGGGTTGAGATGGGAAGTTGATGTCCGAGTGGATCGAGGTCACGATAGCTCAAATGGTAGAGCAGCGGCGTATCTAGCCGAAGATCGTGGGTTCGAATCCCGCTCGTGCCATTGACTTTTTTATCTCAACTAAAAACCTTAATTAATTGTAATAAAGAGTAGTGTTGACTCGACTTCGAATAGGTCACACCAGAATTACGCTTAAGCATATCATTATTATAGAAATGCCACGAAGATGCCCTCTGTATGGCGCTCAAGTAACCATTAAACGTATACTGATAGATGCGAACAATTGGCGCCCCACAGAACAATGTGTGGCCTTTCTTCGAATCTCAAAGAGGTATTAAAACACAGCATTGACGGCAGCAATAATTTGATCGAATACCTGTAGCGAATTGATGTTATTCCACAAGGGGTTTTCCTACCTGAAATGAATGAATTTATTAGTGTGAATGTTGAGTATGTGTGGGTGCGTTGTGGCAGAATATAGAGTACTCCACAGAATCTCCAAACTAGGTTAAAGTTCTCCTGTGATTGTTTTGTGCCTTGAATGAATGCATTTATTAGCGTGAGTGCTGGGTATGTGTAGGTGGGGTTGGGGCGGAATACCCGAGACCCCACAGACCCACTAAATTAGGTCCGGTAGAATGTATTCATAAGCTTTAACTTATAAATGGGAAGTAAGTGTCCGAGTGGATCGAAGTCATCACGCTCAAGTAGTCGAGCAGTGGCGTATTAAGCCGAAGGTCGTGGCGTCAAATCCCGCTTGTGAAACTGAATTTTTTATCTCAAACAATACCTTACATAGAGATTAATTGATTGAAAGATGTTATTTGGTCAATCGGACGACGAAATTTAGTGAATGTATTTATAAGGTTTAGGAATTTATACATTAGGACCCACGGTGGAATATTGAGAAGCTCTTGTAATCTAAAAGGAATCATTCTAACCCGGCTAAAACCAACACTTACTTATATTATATGGTCAAAGTCGTCATGACGAAAATGTTAATCAATGAGACCCAGAAGGGTGGTATTTCTTGGCTCAATATATTCAGCGAGTAAGAATTCCATCAGATATAAGAATGGTGTTCGAGTTCGGCAGCTCATCTTTGTGTCTCCTATTCCGATTTTTGAAGGAAAGTGGTGTATTTGTTCTTTATTGCAGGTAATCTTATTCCTGTATATACAGCGTGAACAAACGTCAGTACTTCAGGAGATAATACTACGTGTCAAATTAGATTAAAAAGTCCCCACCACCTTGTCTAAAGTCTGATTCCCAGTGTAAAATTTGATCACCTCAATGGAAAACACCATTGAAACACCGATAAGATTCAATTTTTTTATTGTAAACTTAAGCATAGAACAAAATAACTTAGATGATAAAGTTTAATGGGTTTCCAAAATAATTGTCCGAAGTTTAAGTAACATTTTCCTTGGTCAAACAAAAAATAAAAATCTCTTTGGTACAAAATTGACCGTAAGAAAAAAAGGTTGATACCAGAAAAATTTGTCAGGAAAGGAACGATGTCAGACTTGCATCCTTCAAGAGGGTGATATTTTGAAAAATTAATTTGTTTGAAGGTTTTTTTTCTTTAGTAAACACAAGACGCTTTCGAACAACATTGAACATACGAATAACAAAAAGCTTGGGTGCAGTACAAAAAGTCAGGAAACGATGTCAGACTTGCATTCTTTAGTAAGGTGGATATTTTAAACATTTAAATTGTTTGAAGCTTTTTTTAAGTAAACATAATAAACGCTTTCGAACAAAATTTAACGTAAGAAAAATCATGCTTGCGAACAGTAAAATCTGTAAGGAAAGAATGTCAGGATTGCATTCTTTAGGAAAGCATTGAAAATTTAATTTAATTTTTTTAAGCATTTTGTGTTTTCTTAAGTAAACAAACATTTTTACTAGTATGCCGTAGAAGTCCATTGGTGTGAAAAATTTAAATTTTTAGCAATTAAACTTTAGAGTTGATGATGGATTTTGGTCTGCGTGTCGGTGAACTCAAACTTCAACCAGTTTGAATAACTCAAAAAACCCGCGAATGTAGGCATACCCATGACCCCGAGCCAGGTCAACATGAATTAAACTTTAATTTTACATTTTTGATAACTGACCTTGGAGATATTAAGAACATCTTTTTAATACACAACATTACGGGTAACTTTTTTGTAAGCCCCATATCTGTCAGTATGAACAGTACCAAGAAAATCGTACCTGAACTTTAGACAAGAATTTTGGAAATTTCTAAATGTTTGTTTAGTAAGTGATTTTGTGTTCTGTTTGCTCAAGTTTAAAATAAAAAAGAATCTGATAGGGTTTTCAATGCCGTTTTCATTGACGTAATCAAATCTTACAATAGAATTAATATTTTATGAAATATGGCGGACTTAAAGAATAAAGTTGTGAAAAGTTGAAGTTACCTGTAAAGTGAAATAATTCGAATATGCTTGAGAAAAAGACTTTGGACAATAGAGACTTTTTAGTCCAATTTGACATGAAAGACAACCTATAAAGTATTGATGTATGCTCACGGGTACACCCTGAGCTTATTTATTAATTTTTTATAACGAAAACTATTGCTCTATGCATGTTTTGCACTATAATTATACATTAACTAGTGACGTAGTGGACTTGGGGCAATAGCCTTTGAATTAATGAACGACATGACTTATGAAAGTGGGAAAACGGGCTGCGAATAGCAAGTCGATAGCAGGTAACTCCTGGTTCACCACTCGGAAAAATCAGTGGGCGATGGGATCACAATGAGTGTTTAAAACATACATTAACTAAGGAACGCTTTGAAGATAGAGCAGAAGGATGTGTCGATGACCTGGCGGTTCTCGTTCGGAAGGATGAAAAACTCCAGCTATTTCTTGCGCTGAAAGTTTGTTAAATCTACGTACATCTATAGGTACGCTACCAACAAAAATCAAATTCAAGTTAAAAATTAGCAGTTATGTAAGGTATTGGTTGAAATGAAAAAGTTAAGTGTCACGAGCGGGATTCGAATCCACGACCTTCGGCTAAATACGCCGCTTCTTTAACCACTTGAGCTATCGTTCGATCCACTCGGACACCAACTCTCCATCTCAACCTACCTTTCGAATTTTCGAAGCCGAAGGTCGTGAGTTCGAATCCCGCTCGTGACACTTACTTTTTCATTTCAACCAATACCTTACATAAAGATTAATTAATCGTAAGAAGTTATTTCCTCGGACCACGAAATGTAATAGATTTAAAAACTAGCATTGTTTCAGCTGCAGTTC